GTAATTTTTTTCAGAAAAACAAAATCCCTAAGATATACATACTTATACAAACAGATAAAAATATTTTAGTAAAATTAACAGAAAAATTAAAAAAAAATTACCGAACATAAAATTTCAAAATATGAATGGTTAACTAAATATTTAAATTTAGACATTAATATTAAAGAGAGATTGAAAAATGAATATTGCAGATATTGTATGTTAATATTAAAATAAATTTATTAAGAAAAAAAAACAGAAAATTTCAAATTCATTTTAATAAAAATATAAATAATTCAAAAGTAATTTTATTGTTAAACAAGTGTTTTATTTGGTTATGGACTAATTGAACTTTTTAGATTTTTTAAAATCTAATCAAAAAGATCTAGTTCATTTCTTATTAAGTTCTTGTTCGGTTCGAGTTTACTTCTAGTTAGTTATAGTTCATTTAGAATTCAGTTACAGTACAGTTTTTGTTCAGTTCTGGTTCAATTCAACTACACTTTAGTTCCAGTTTAGTTCGAGTTCTAGTGCAGTTCCGGTTGCGTTCTGGTTCAGTTCTATTTTAGTTCAGTTCTACATCAGTCTAGTTCAGTTCTAGTTGAGTTCTAATTCAGTTCTAGTTAATTTTTAGTTCAGTTCTAGTTCAATTCTAGTTCAGTTTTAGTTAAATTCTAGTTAAGTTCTAGTTCAGTTCTTGTTCAGTTCTAGTTCAGTTCTAGTTCAGTTCTAGTTCAGTTCTAGTTCAGTTCTAGTTCAGTTCTAGTTCAGTTCTAGTTCAGTTCCAGTTCATTTCTAGTTCAGTTCTAGTTCAGTTCTAGTTCTAGTTCAGTTCTAGTTCAGTTCTAGTTCAGTTCTAGTTCAGTTCAGTTCTAGTTCAGTTCTAGTTCAGTTCTAGTTCAGTTCTAGTTCAGTTCTAGTTCAGTTCTAGTTCTAGTTCAGTTCTAGTTCAGTTCTAGTTCAGTTCTAGTTCAGTTCTAGTTCAGTTCTAGTTCAGTTCTAGTTCAGTTCTAGTTCAGTTCTAGTTCAGTTCTAGTTCAGTTCTAGTTCAGTTCTAGTTCAGTTCTAGTTCAGTTCTAGTTCAGTTCTAGTTCAGTTCTAGTTCAGTTCTAGTTCAGTTCTAGTTTAGTTCTAGTTCAATTCTAGTTCATTTTTAGTTCAGTTCTAGTTCAATTCAAGTTAAGTCCTAGTTCAATTCTAGTTAAGATCTAGTTCTTCTCTAGCTCAGTTCTAATGAAGTTCCGGTTCAGTTCTAGTTAAGTTCTAGATTAGTTCTAGTTCAGTTATAGTTCAGTTCAAGTTCATTTTTAAGTCAATTCTAGTTCAATTCTAGTCCTAATTCAGCTCTAATGAAGGTCCGGTTCAGTTCTTGTCCAATTCTTATTCTGTTCCAGTTCAGTTCTAGTTCAGGTCTAGTTCAGTTCTAGTTCAGTTCTAGTTCAGTTCTAATTCAGTTCTAGTTCAGTTCTAGTTCAGTTCTAGTTCAGTTCTAGTTCAGTTCTAGTTCAGTTCTAGTTCAGTTCTAGTTCAGTTCTAGTTCAGTTCTAGTTGAGTTCTAGTTTAGTTCTAGTTCAGTTCTAGTTCAGTTCTAGTTCAGTTCTAGTTCAGTTCTAGTTCAGTTCTAGTTCAGTTCTAGTTCAGTTCTAGTTCAGTTCGAGTTTAGTTCTAGTTTAGTTCAGTTCTAGTTCACTTCTAGTTCAGTACTAGTTCAGTTCGAGTTTAGTTCTAATTCAGTTCTAGTTCAGTTCTAGTTCACATCTTGTTCAGATCTAGTTCAGTTCTACTTCAGTTTTAGTTCAGCTCTAGTACTTCTCTAGTTTAGTACTAATGAAGTTCCGGTTCAGTTCTAGGTCAGTTCTAGTCCAATTTTTGATCTGTTCTAGTTCTTGTTCAGATCTATTTCTAGTTCAGTTCTATTTCTAGTTCAGTTCTAGTCCAGTTCCAGTTCAATTCTACTTCAGTTCAAGTTCAGTTTTAGTTCAGTTCTAGTTTATTTCTAGTTCAATTCTAGTTCAGTTCTAGTTCAGTTCTAGTTGTGTTCTAGTTCAGTTCTAGTTCAGTTCTAGTTCAGTTCTAGTTCAGTTCTAGTTCAGTTCTAGTTCAGTTATAGTTCAGTTCTATTTCAGTTCTAATGCATTTCTAGTTCAGCTTTAGTTAAGTTATATTTCAGTTCTAGTTCAATTCTAATTCAGTTAAATTTTATTTCAGTTCTAGTCCTGTTAAGTTGTATTTCAGTTCCATTTCATTTCCTCATCAGCGAACAGTCAAGTAAGACCAAGGGACTCCGTTTTGACCGGACCACTCTACTCGTCGTTATAATTCAGTTTTAGATGAGTTCTAGTTTAGGGATTTGTTCAGTTTAGTTCTCTTTTAAAATAACATTTCTGCAATTTACATAGTTGCTAGTCATATCTGTTAGAAAGCTTTTATTTACAGTTATTAAACTTTCAGTTATGACAGTTTTGAGAGTATTAACTGTTATATCTTCCCATTATTATAAACTTTTTCGAAAATTTTATTTTTTTATGTTTTATATTATATTCTTTATGTGTACTATAGAGCTATCCCAATAAACATCGATTCAAACCTGTGAATATTTTTGAAAATTTTCTTAACTAAATAATGTATTTTCCAAATTGTTTTCAAATTTTAAAGTTTAGCCTTTGAAATAAACATGATAATTTCAAAAAACGCTTAAAAAAATATAATGTGTGATATTTATAAAATTTTCAAAGTTTTGTTTTAATTGAACTTAGAAAAGTTTCTTTCAAAAAATAAATTATTTTAGAAAAATAAAAACAGAACATTTTTTCTACAGCAAGGGAGCGAAAAAACGTTAAATATAGGAGAAATAATCGGAGATATAAAAGAAAAATATGCTAAAATAAATGTATGAATGTTTTATTTTCAGGTGATGTAAAAAAATATATGAATTTTGCAATAGTTAGCATTATAATTAGGGTTTGAAATATGTATGAAAATAATAATAGAGAATACTTGAAATACGTTTGAAAATTTTTTTAGTTTCAAGCTTACCTCTAGCCTTTTTTTAAATTTGAAATACATTTGAAAAATACGTTTGATTTCTAACTGCCTTTTTGTTTGAGAAGGCTATAATTTTCCATTTGAAAACAAAAATTTTCAAATTTGTTCTCAAAGGCTATGTATGAAATTTGAATAGGTTTTCAAATACACATTTACATCATTTCAAAGGTTTTTGCTTATTGGGATAATATTATACTTTATAGAACTGTATATAGTAATATTATTTAAATTTAAACGGTTATACACGGTTTTATCGACTTAATGAAATTAAATAGGTACTGTTTTATCATTAAATGGTTTTACTGTTTCATCGACATTGTTATAAACGTGCATACACTGTTTTATCATTATCAAATTTTCCTATTTATGCAGAGATTAAAACCATTTTCTTTAGAAAATTTGGTCTTATTGGGGTGAATAGAAATTTTCGAGAGAAAATGCGTGATTTTGAGAACAAAAGTGTCTATATAAAGTCAGTCAATTTTGTATTAAATTCACAAAATTATCTTTATTTAAAGTAAAATAATAATTTGTATAGAAAAAATCAGTTTTCTCATTAAAGAAAATTTGTTTATATTTTAGATTTTTCTTATTTTTTACTTTAAATTAAACACAAGTATAAATAGGTTCCTTTTTTAATTAAGAAGGATAACTTGTAAATATTATTATTTTATTTTGTTTAAAACTTAAAAACTTATGCTTAAATATGCTTGGTTTTTTTATATTTAAAAAATAAAAATAGTTAATTAATAATTTGTATTTAATGCTTAGATAAAACTAAAAAAAAATATAACAGAGACTTTCTAAAACAAAATAATATATAGAATAAATGCTAATACAAATAGTTTATTATATAGTACAAAGCGAAGAATTAGAAAAATAAAAATTATTTTGAAATTAATATGTAAAATCGGGCAATATAAAGCAGATAACTGAAAATGCTCTTTTCTATAAAACCAACAATTAGTGCTCTATTTAATTTTCCGAACTAACAGAAATCTGATCTTGTTGGTAACTTAATTTTTTGTTTAAAAGAAAAATAAAGAAAATTTTATTATTATTTTTTTTAATATTTTCAGTTTTAATAACAGACTTTTTGGATATAGAAAACAGTTTTAGACATTTTTAAAAATCATGTCTAAAATTTTAAATCTTAAACAATTTTGATCATAAGATAAAAAATCTCTTTATGAAGTAGATTTTTTTTTGAAATTTTGTTTTTAATTAAACCAAACAAATTTTCTTAAGTATTATATTTATATCGATTTTTTTTTATTTATTATTAAAATGTTTTTTATATTTTTATTATATTTTCTTTAAGTAAATAAATAAACACTTATGGTTTATATGTTTTTTTGTTTTGTTTTAAATTGTTATTATTAACTATTTGTATGCATTTTAAGTAAATAATTTAACAAATAATAAAAAATATATTTATATAATAATGTATATAGTATAAATAACATAGTCCTTGCTTCCATTTTTAATTTTATTTTCCAAAAATTTCTTAAAAACATTTCTTTGAAAATAATTGTAAAAAAAAATCCCTTAAAGAGAAAAAATTCGTTAAACGTTAAAATATATTTCTCTTTATTTTAGGTTGATGTGTTTAAGTAAATTTGAGAAAATTCATTCAAGTTTAGAAAACAGCATTTTAAATGTTGTTGTTGCTTCTACACTCTGTTTTTATTTTGTTCATATATTTGGTTTTAAGGAATTTCGTTTATCAAAAGCTTTGCCAACTTTTTGTTAAATTGCTTTTTATTTAGCGTTTGTTTATAGTTTATTTTGGAATTTTAAAAAAGTAACTAAATAAAAATATCAAAAACATTCTTTAAAACAAACGTTAATTTTTTTTTCATAAAGAAAAAAAAATTCACAATAAAGTGGTTTACTTCCTTAACAAGTTAAAACACACTGAATGCCGTTTATTTGCTAGCGGTCTAGGCATGTCTTCTCCTTTTTTGTATATGTAGTCAATATTGTTGTTACTTTTGGTTAATGTTTTTTTCATTTTTGTTGTTGTGGTCTAGTTTGTTTCAATTTTGGCAATGTTACTTTTTGTCTATATCTTCTACTGGTTGCTGTTGTTGCTGTTCATTATCACTATTGTCGTCACCATTATTTTGTTCATCCCATTGAAATGGTCATTTACTTTCACAACAACCATTCAAATGTTTTTGTATAGCTGGTGGTATGAAATCTTTCGTTTTTGTATGATTACCCTGTCCCAGCAGAGCAGGTTCGATTAATTTACCATTTTGTATATCTTGTATTTTCTTTAACATATCATAGTTAATACGATCACTAACAACGGAATCTTTCCTATAAGAAATAACAAGAAAAAAAATGTGAATTAAATAAGATCTTTGGCCATGAACTTGTTTATAAAAAAAAAACTTACTTGTAATCTGGATGATTTAAGACCTGCTCTCTCATCCAGGTAGCTGTTGTAATTAATTCTCCTGAAGCTCTCTTTTGTATAAATCTCAAGTATTGTTCGATGGTGCAATGAGTATCGGTATCAACTTCCATTGACTGCAAGTAGCTGCGTATGAGTGGTACTAAGCCAGGAAATGAATCAGGCTGGAAAATAAGAAAAATAAAATTACATCTACTTTTTCTACAAAGCAATCTATAAAGAAGAACTGAAATAAAACTGAACTAGAACTGAACTACAACTAAACTAGAGCAGAACAAGAACTGAAATAGAACTGAACTAGAACTGAACTGAACTAAAACTGAACTAGAACTGAACTCGAACTGAACTAGAACTGAACTAGAACTGAACTAGAACTGAACTAGAACTGAACTAGAACTGAACTAGAACTGTACTAGAACTGAACTAGAACTGAACTAGAACTGAACTAGAACTGAACTAGAACTGAACTAGAACTGAACTAGAACTGAGCTAGAACTGAACTAGAACTGAACTAGAACTGAACTAGAACTGAACTAGAACTGAACTAGAACTGAACTAGAACTGAACTAGAACTGAGCTAGAACTGAACTAGAACTGAACTAGAACTGAACTAGAACTGAACTAGAACTGAACTAGAACTGAACTAGAACTGAACTAGAACTGAACTAGAACTGAACTAGAACTGAACTGAACTAGAACTGAACTGAACTAGAACTGAACTAGAACTGAACTAGAACTGAACTAGAACTGAACTAGAACTGAACTGAACTGAACTAGAACTGAACTAGAACTGAACTAGAACTGAACTAGAACTGAACTAGAACTGAACTAGAACTGAACTAGAACTGAACTAGAACTGAACTAGAACTGAACTAGAAATGAACTAGAACTGAACTAGAACTGAACTAGAACTGAACTAGAACTGAACTAGAACTGAACTAGAACTGAACTAGAACTGAACTAGAACTGAACTAGAACTGAACTAGAACTGAACTAGAACTGAACTAGATCTGAATTAGAGCTGAACTAGAACTGAACTAGAACTGAACTAGAACTGAACTAGAACTGAACTAGAACTGAACTAGAACTGAACTAGAACTGAACTAGAACTGAACTAGAACTAGAACTGAACTAGAACTGAACTAAAACTGAACTAGAACTTAGAACTGAGCTAAAACTGAACTAGTACTTAGAACTGAACTAGAAAACCAATATTGAACATTTTCTATCTTCATGTCTCACCTTTCCATTGAAAATTTCACCAATCGACATTAATTCAAAATCATCATCATAATCGCTCTGCGTTTGATGATGATAACCATTAGTGGTGTCACTACCATTCAAACCATTAGTTGCGGTACCATTCGTAGAGCCATTGGTAGCAGCAGTACCATTTGCACTTCCATTAATGTTGCCATTGTGTAGAGTACCATTAGCATAACCATTCGATAAACGATGAGTTTTGCGTACATTTTTGCGGAACCAAAACTTTTCCTTGCGGCAAGCATCACGCTTTTGAGCTGTTTGCATATTTTCATCGACCTTTGAAATGGGTGTTAGGAAATTCAATTGATACGATAGTATCACCCTAGTAAGAAGAACCACAAAACATACTAGAGCAGCATTTTCAAAATCACTTATTTGAGCCTCACAAGGTCGGAATTCAACACGCCAACCTATGGGCGAGTTGGGTGGTGGTGGTTTAAAGCGCATGGTTTGCCAATTGGTGGATTGTATGTTCTCAAAATGATCGGTATCCTCCTCATCGTTTTGATGAACTTTCTCACTGAATAGAGAAACTGTATCACGTATAAATAAATGAGCCACATGTTGAGCCAACAAATGGTCAATGCCTCCCTCACGCAAACGTTTATAGACCTTCTCGTCATAGGTTAGAGGAACATCATTGTATTCCTCACCCTCTGGTGAGAGATAAGAATCTATAGAATCATAACGAGATTTAGCTATACGGAATTTATTTTCCTTTAAGGGTTTAAGGCCTCTTTCTTCCTGAGTACGACAATCTACCGAGGAACTAATGACATTCCAACGACAATCAGATTCTGTTAAATAGCCTCGGTAAATGGGTGAAGCTGCTGTGAGGGCCAACATTATGGGACACAACGGGGCCAATTGATCGTACAAGGTACGAGCCTCTGTTATATTACAGGCTTGGAATGTTAATTGTAGACAACAGCAGCCCATGCCAAAACCCATGGCATCGAGTAATACTACATCTGGTTCCATAGGAGGACTACCTTCTACTGGTAGTTTGGTATTTTCATCCTTAAATACTTTTAGCTTTATGGCCACCTTTTCGCCGCGGCGCATGCGTATATTGCGTGTCAGGGTCTTGAAACGTGGGTGACCTGGATATATGGCCTCATCGGGGAAATATAGAGATTTTGCCGAACTGGTTGGATCCTCTGGCTGGGGATTATAAATGGGATGTGTGAATTCCTTACAACCTAAACGGGGGAAATTTGTAATGGACATTACACATTCGTCCTTTTCCAATAGCTCCGTGACTTCTTCACGCCTGTAGCGCATATTAGCCTCTACCACATTGAAATGTGCCATTAGACCACCAAATGGTTTGCCGGGGGTACCCTCAATCATATAGGCACCATATTCTGGACGCCACAGAGATTTAACACCCTGTGGATCAGCCATTTCTTTTTCATTCAATTTAGCCAACAACTCTTGAGCCTTGAGCGAGACTTTGGCCTGTTTTTTATTATCATCGAATTTAACAATAATATATTCCACCTCATCACCCCATTTGAGGACATCACCCTGACGATCTTTTAGTCTGTGATAGAGATTTATAAACTGTGTTACGCCATGTTCTCGCACATGCTCAGCATGTGCTTTTGTTTCTTCCCACGACAAGGGGCTGCCTTCACTTAAGAGACCCATGACTAAAAATAAAGATTTAAAGAAAAATTAAGTTAGATTTTTTTACAGATATATTAAAAAACTTAGAACTAAACTAGAACTGAAGTAGAACTGTACTGGAGGCAAACTTGAACTAAACAAGAACTGCACTAGAGATAAATAAAAAGACAAACAATTAAAATAAAAAACAGTTTATCGAACCTTTTAAGTAAATTTCTCAGAATATGTTTGAAAATTTACAAACAATAAAGTTCAGTTAGAAACTGAAAAACAATCAATTCCTTTGCTCTTCCCCCGACAATAAAAAACACAGACAGTTTACACTTTGTAATGAAAACTAAAAGTTATCATGTTTTTTTTTATATGTTTGTATTGTATTGTTTGCTGTATTTGTATAATTAAATTTTTACGGAATTGCGTTTTATATTTACGTACTCACTACTCACTCAACTTAGTTCATTTAAATTTCTATATGTTTGCCAACAATTCGTGATTTTTATCTTTTTATTTTTTTACAAATAAAGACAATTGAATTAAATGTTAAAATAAAAACTTCCTCGCCAACTAATGAACAAAATGCAACTAAATTCTAACATTTTTAAAAACTATTGTTTTCTAATGTACAATTTGTTGGAATGCTGGTAAATAAAACTAATTGATTCAATAAAGTCTAAATACAAAAAAATATACATATATACGTACATATATAGAAAATGCAATTTACATGTAACATTTAAATAGTTACAAATGTAATTATTTTAAAATTATTTATTGTAGTTTGAAAAAATAAATTTAGAAATTTATACATGCTTGAGTAAAGATGGGAAATGGAGATAAATTATATTTGAACTTAGTTTAGAATGAAAAAATAGCGATAATCACAGTAAATTAGAACTAGAACTGAACAAGAATTGATCTATAACACAACTATAACTGAACTAGAGCTGAACTAAAGATGAACGAGAACTGAACTAGAGCTGAAGTAGAATTGAACTACAACCGAACTAGAACTGAAGTAGAATTTAACTTTAACCGAACTAGAACTGAACTAGAACTGAACTAGAACTGAACTAGAACTGAACTAGAACTGAACTAGAACTGAACTAGAACTGAACTAGAACTGAACTAGAACTGAACTAGAACTGAACTAGAACTGAACTCGAACTGAACTAGAACTAGAACTGAACTAGAACTGAACTAGAACTGAACTAGAACTGAACTAGAACTAGAACTGAACTAGATCTGAACCAGAACTGAACTAGAACTGAACTAGAACTGAACTAGAACTGAACCAGAACTGAACTAGAACTGAACTAGAACTGAACTAGAACTGAACTAGAACTAAACTAGAACTGAACTAGAACTGAACTAGAACTGAACTAGGACTGAACCAGAACTGAAATAGAACTGAACTAGAACTGAACTAGAACTGAATTAGAACTGAATTAGAACTGAACTAGAACTGAGCTAGAACTGAGCTAGAACTGAGCTAGAACTGAGCTAGAACTGAACTAGAACTGAACTAGAACTGAACTAGAACTGAGCTAGAACTGAACTAGAACTGAACTAGAACTGAACTAGAACTGAACTAGAACTGAACTAGAATTGAACTAGAACTGAACTAGAACTGAACTAGAACTGAACTAGAACTGAACTAGAACTGAACTAGAACTGAACTAGAACTGAACTAGAACTGAACTAGAGCTGAACTAGAACTGAACTAGAACTGAACTAGACTAGAACTGAACTGAACTAGAACTGAACTGAACTAGAACTGAACTGAACTAGAACTGAACTAGAACTGAACTAGAACTGAACTAGAACTGAACTAGAACTGAACTAGAACTGAACTAGAACTGAACTAGAGAACTGAACTAGACTACTAGAACTGAACTAGAACTGAACTAGAACTGAACTAGAACTGAACTAGAACTAAACTAGAACTGAACTAGAACTGAACTAGAACTGAACTAGAACTGAACTAGAACTGAACTAGAACTTAACTAGAACTCAACTAGAACTGAACTAGAACTGAACTAGAACTGAACTAGAACTGAACTGGAACTGAACTAGAACTGAACTAGAACTGAACTAGAACTGAACTAGAACTGAACTAGAACTGAAGTAGAACTGACCTAGAACTGAACTAGAACTAAACTAGAGCTGAACTAGAACTGAACCAGAACTGAACTTGAATTGATTACCGATGATTGTTGAAAGAAAAATTCTCTTCTAATACTACAAACTGTGAATACCCCAAAGAATTTTATATTGTACGATTACAAATTCATGAAGAATTTTAATTAAGCAATATTTAGATAAATTACTACAATACAATAATCATTTTATTGTATCAATTTAATTTTCAGTTGACTTCATTTCGTATAATTTAGATATTACGAGATTGACAGCGAAAGTTATTGTAAATTAGAATTTTGAACTTATTTTTTAAAACTACAATTTATGGTAAAAATTGAGTGTATCTTTGAAGAATTCTTAAAATAAAAATTTTAAGAATTAAAAACTTTCTATTGAATTCGTTTTTATTAAACGGAAATAGTCTTTCTAATAAGAATTCGTTTCAGTTAAAACAGGTATCCGCAGAGAAAGAGAACAGAGCTTGGGTACGCGTAAAAGTAACTGAGAATGAGAGTGAGAGCTCATTGCCGATAGTAGCTTTTCAAAATACTTTTGATTTTTAATATAAATACATATTAAATATGCATGTTAATAAAAATCAAAAGTGTTAAATTTAAAGCGAAATCATTAACAAATTATTAATAATAAAAAATAATTATCGACTTATTTTTTTTTTTTTAATTTTTTCTCTATATTCTTAATCCCTCAGACAAACATTTGCTGTTAGTTGTCTCATTTTTTTTCACTGACTGCCAATTTGTATTTTTGTTTAAATTTTATAAATTTTTTTGACACAATTGTTATTTATCTGTGATTTTTTCGATTTTTTTTACTTAAATTTGAACATTTGCCAATGAATTGCATTGCATGGCTTTAATTTATTTATATTTTTTTCATCTTTAAGTAGACCATTTACAGATTTGGTTATACAAAGACTTAAATTTTTGTGTAAAAATAAAACGCAATTAACCTTGAACTTAAACGTCATAATCAGATACAGACGACAAAAAAAATATGAATCATAACAAACAATTTGATAATTTTTATAATAAATTAAAAGAAAATGAATTAAATAATACAAATATATGCAGTAAATAATTTTTCTTATTAATGAAATGCATTTATTATTTAAATGTATAAAACTCAAAGAAATGTATTAAAATATTTCTGAGATTATTTCCCCAAAAACGATCTATAACAGGCCGACAATTCTAAGTTTGGGGCCAAAATTCCACATCTGTGGTTAATATTTTCTTATCATTCAATTATGCTAAATATCGTTCGGCATCATTTAATTGCATAAGCATTGTCAATTATTTTATTAAATATTATTTTAAATTAAATTGACAATATGATTAATCAAAAATAAAGCTTTTTAAAACACAACAATTTATGATAATACAAAGTCGAAATATGCCGAAAAAATGTGTAAATTAAAAAACGTGTGCAACGTAAAAAAATAATAATTAAATATTTATTTATTTTATAATATAAATAAAAAAAATATAAATGTGTATTTAAGCACATTTTATACAATTTTAGTGCTAACAACAGAAGTTTAAAAGGATTCAAAAAATGATATTTAAACTTTCCATAACTATATACATATCTACATATATGAATTGACCTGAACTAGAACTGAACCAGAACAGAACTGAACTAGAACTAGAACTGAACTAGAACTGAACTAGAACTGAATTAGAACTGAACTAGAACTGAACTAGAACTGAACTAGAACTGAACTAGAACTGAACTAGAACTGAACTAGAACTGAACTAGAACTGAACTAGAACTAAACTAGAACTGAACTAGAACTGAACTAGAACTGAACTAGAACTGACTAGAACTGAACTAGAACTGAACTAGAACTAGAACTGAACTAGAACTGAACTAGAACTGAACTAGAACTGAACTAGAACTGAAATAGAACTGAACTAGAACTGAACTAGAACTGAACTAGAACTGAACTAGAACTGAAGTAGAACTGAACTAGAACTGAAATAGAACTGAACTAGAAACTGAACTAGAACTGAAATAGAACTGAACTAGAACTGAACTAGAACTGAACTAGAACTGAACTAGAACTGAACTAGAACTGAACTAGAACTGAACTAGAACTGAACTAGAAACTGAACTAGAACTGAACTAGAACTGAACTAGAACTGAAACTAGAAGTCAACTAGAATGAACTAGAAATGATGTAGAAATGAACTAGAACTGAACGAGAACTGAACTAGAACTGAACTAGAAACTGAACTAGAACTGAACTAGAACTGAACTAGAACTGAACTAGAACTGAACTAGAACGAGAACGGAACGAGAACGGAACGAGAACGGAACGAGAAGCGAACGAGAACGGAACGAAACGAGCGAGCGAGCGAGCGAGCGAGCGAGCGAGCGAGCAGAGCGAGCGAGGAGCGAGAGAGCGAGCGACGAGCGAGCAGCGAGCGAGCGAGGCAGCGAGCGAGAGCCAGAGAGCACGAGCGATCGAGCGAGAGCGAGCGAGCGAGCGAGCGAGCGAGCGAGCGAGCGAGCGAGAGCGAGCGAGCGAGCAGCAGCGAGCGAGCGAGCGAGCGAGCGAGCGAGGAGCGAGCGAGCGAGCGAGCGAGCGAGCGAGCGAGCGAGAGAGCGAGCGAGCGAGCGAGCGAGCGAGCGAGCGAGCGAGAGAGCAGCGAGCGAGCGAGCGAGCGAGCGAGCGAGCGAGCACGAGCGAGCGAGAGAGCGAGAGCGCTAGCGAGCGAGCGAGCGAGCGAGCGAGGAGCAGCGAGCGAGCGAGCATCGAGAGAGCGAGCGAGCGATCGAGCGATCTATCTATCTATCTATCTATCTATCTACCTATCTATCTATCTATCTATCTATCTATCTATCTATCTATCTATCTATC